ATACCAGAGATCCGTGGCGACGTAGACATCCTACTGCTCATCGGTCGGAACGCCCCTCCACTTCAAAAGGTTCACGAATCCCGTAACGGACCTAGAAAGCCCCTTGAGCCCAGCGTCTTGATCTAGGATGGGTCATCATCGGCCACGCTTGCCTGGACGGAGCTCACACACCGAAGCCTTCCTGTTACAAAACAAACGTTCTCGAAAGCGGCCGACCATCAATCTTATCACCCTGCCCTAATCGTTTCCACATCAAGGAATACACGTCCACCGCTTCTGCCGTCCCCTGCGAGGGAAACAACGACCAAAGGAAAGAGACATTCGAAAACGGAAACGTTGACGATGGCCTAGCAGCCAAAGTGTTTGCAAGCTCGAATGACGACAACAAACCTGGTCCCTCCGTGGAAGACAGGAGATTTGTCAACATAATGGAACATCAAATGGTCAAAAACGAAGCAGGGAACTGGGAGGCGCCACTTCCGTCTAAAGTCCGTTCCCGATCGCGAGGGAGCCGTCGACCTGTTACGCAGAACCAAAACCATGTTAGCCGACGCCAATCTGCGCCTCCACAAAATCGCGTCCAACGACCCTACGGTAACACAGGCATTTCCCGTCGAAGACCGAGCTTCCGACCTACGCAATCTGGACCTTCACCGCGACGTAGTACCGACTCAGCGCTCGTTGGGTGTATTTTGGGACCTACAAACAGACGCCTTTACCTTTCAGGTCGTCGACGGAGCCAAACCCTTTACAAGACGTGCGTTCTCTCCGTCACCAACAGCCTTTACGATCCTCTCGGAATCGCTGCCCCGGTCGTCATCAAAGCCAAAATCCTGCTGCGAGCTATGACAACGAGCCTGAAACGCCACCCACTTGACGACTGGGACCAACCACGCTACCTGAGCAACATAAAGCATCCTGGGAAGCTTGGTGCAAATCCCTCTCAGACCTAACCGAAGTCAAAGTCCCACGTACCTACGCAAGCGTGTCACTGTCCGAAGCAAGCCGTATAGAAATCCACACATTTTGCGACGCCTCCACCGAAGCCATTGCTGCTGTCTCATACATCAAAGTCGTCCCGAAAGACGGTCAAGCCCAAGTATCTTTCGTGTTCGGGAAAGCTAAGCTGGCTCCACCCCATGCCAGAACAATCCCCCGTTTAGAGCTTTGTGCTGCAGTGCTCGGCGTAGAAATTACGGAGCTGGTTATAGAAGAGTTAGCAGTAAAACCACACTCCGTAGCCTATTACACGGACAGTAAAGTTACACTAGGATACATTCTTAACGAAACGCGGCGGTTCTATGTGTACGTCAGCAACCGCGTACAAAGAATACGAAGGTCGTCGTCGCCAGATCAGTGGAGATACGTGGCAACTGACATCAACCCAGCAGATCTAGCTACTCGATCGGTGAAAGCCTGCGACCTCAAAGACTCGTCTTGGTTGGCCGGCTCGAAGTTCCTCCAAAGCACAAGTTCCCTCGACGTTCCACCGGAGACCGAGACCTTCCTACCCCACAAGAAGACCCAGAACTTCGTCCCGAATTCACAACCCTCGCCACGAACGCAAAGCCCGGAGTTCAGAAAAACCTTGGAACTGATCGCTTCCTACGCTTCTCGCGGTGGGCAAACTTAGTGAACGCAGTATCGAAACTAATGATGGTCGCTCAGCATCACCACCATGCCAAAGCGTCAGTCGGCAACGAAACTACGGTAATCCTGGAACGAAAACGCGCACAGTTGTTGATCGTAAGGAACCTACATATCGAAGCGTTTGAGGAAGAATTCGATTCCTTAGAAAAGAAAACGGACTGTCAAAAAACATCACCACTGTTAAAACTTTATTACCCAATAATCGACTCCGACGGTCTCCTACGCATTGGTGGACGTCTTAAACGAGCTGACCTTCCGTACGAAGAACGTCATCCCCTCATTCTACACGGGAAACACCACGTGACAAGTCTAATCGTTAAGAACTGCCACGAAGAAGCGAAACACCAGGATCGTCATTTCACCCACGGCATGGTCAGATCAAAAGGATTCTGGATCGTCGGCGGAAAACGCCTCGTCAATCGAGTTATCCATCCGTGCCTAAAATGTAAGAAATGATAGCTGACTTCCCATCAGAGCGCATTACTCCATCACCTCCTTTCACTTACGTCGGACTGGACGTTTTCGGTCCATGGGAAGTCACAGCTCGTCGCACCAGACGAGGACACGCTTACAGTAAACGATGGGCAGTAATCTTTACTTGCCTTTCAACGAGAGCTATTCATATCGAATTAATCGAGAGTATGGACGCTTCTAGTTTCATAAATGCACTTCGAAGATTCATGGCTATCAGAGGGCCCGTTCAACAGATTCGCTCGGACTGCGGAACGAACTTCAAAGGTGCTCAGAACGAACTAGAATCGGCTCTAAAGGAAACGGATCAAAAGATCGTGGAGACGTACTTGAATTCTCCAGAATGCGAATGGATTTTCAACTCTCCTCACGCTTCGCATAGAGGAGGCGTGTAGGAACGTACGAACGGTATTTCTAGACGAATCCTGGACTCGATGATGGCCGAGCTAAGACCAACACGACGAAGTCCTATCAACACTGATGGCCGAGGTGACAGCTATCGTAAACAACAGACCGCTAGTAGCCATCTCAAGCGACCCCTCTGCTCCCGAAATCCTCACACCATCTACTCTCCTGACGCAAAAAACGGCAACACTCACGTCAACCCCAGGAAATTTTGTCCCCAAGACCTCTATACCAAACAGTGGCGGCAAGTACAAATATTAGCCAACCGTTTCTGGTCAAGATGGAGAAAATAATTCTTGCCAACATTACAATACAGGCGAAAGTGGACAACAGACGTTCCAAATCTCCAAGCGGGAGATCTGGTCCTCCTCCGATGCAAAGAATCGCCGAGAAACGATTGGCCGCTAGCTCGCGTCTCGAAGACCCTAAGCAGCGCGGATGAAAAAGTTCGAAAGGTAGAAGTCACGACAGCAAAGAACGTCTCAAAGCAAGTGTACACCAGACCAGTGACAGAACTGATCCTGCTAAAAACTAAATACAAATTAAATTCGCGCTCGTGACTCAATAATAACACTTTAGAACGTTAAACGTAGTGGTATTTTCATACCAGACGGGGAGTGTTCTGGCCACTATGGCCCCTAGATACTTTCTAGATAGACTTTAATATTATTCGCTCGTTTTCGCGATAATTTTCCGTAATCGCATCTCATTAATAGCGAGCCAGGGGGTATTTTTACCGGTTTTTCTCTGGCTCGGTTCTCACGCCTGAGTGAGCATTCTTTTTTTACAAAAAGCGAATAAAAGCATCGTTTAAACTTATTCGTCTGTTATACTACTGTTGAAGGGGACAAGGCCTTTCCCGAAGGAACAGAATAGTGATCCTTCTCAGATTTAGCTTTTTCTAGATATTAATTAATAAGATAGAAATACTATATTAGAAAAAGTGTATTACGCGATTAGCAAATTATATGGGTTATGGTGGATATAGTTTCTTTTTGGTACTTATAATTTAGAATAATGAAAAAATAATTCTTGAACTCAAATTTTGTGAACCAAGGGGATGTGTCTTTTCCAACAAACTAAAAAGGGCTCGCGCTCATTAACCGAGCTCGGTCTACTGACTTCACGAAGTTCTTTGCATTACGTTATATTTGATAGAAATATATATAGGCTATAGTTAAAAAAAATGACGTACATTAATACATTGTGGTGTTGCTTTATGAAATAATCTCTCGTGGTAAAAATCAACCAATAGATACGCAATTTACGAAAATGGAATACTTAAAAAATATACAGTTTCCAGAGATATCTTGTTATTTGATAGCCATAGAGTATCACATGTTCTATATTGAGTGCGGGACAGTGGATTGGAAGGAGTAAACGGCTGCGCGTACATTTGTAGTAATTTAAACATGTAATTAATCATATTTTTAAAAAGGAATGGAGAATGCTAATAACTTATAGGTTTTAATTTTGTAAATATTTAGCTAATGTATTCTCACAGAGGACAACCATCAAAGTCAAAGAATTCTTAGCCAGTCGCTGTATGGCTGTATTTGGGGATGAGCTTACGCGGGGTGCAACTAGAAATACTGTCAGCCAAGATAGTGTATACTATCTTGTTTTTGTACGTTGTTTGAGCAAACCAGAATTACCTTGCACTGACAGGCAGTGCAATAATAACATTGACATCGCCTATATAAAACGGCTTATTCTTAATTACTTGCTATTTTACCTCGTTCTGTCACAGCAAAAAATCGTTTTCTTATTTGAAGAAAAAAAAAACTTGTTTCAAGAATTATTTTCTTAAAACAAGAATTTTTTTACTAGGAAGAATAGCGAGAAATATTTTCTAACTGAGAAAATATTTTTAAAATATTTCTTAAAATAAGAAAACACATTTTCTTGTTTTAAGAAAAATATACTCATTTCAAGAAAATAATGAAACATTTTTCTAGTGCACTTTTTCTTAAAATAAGAAATTTTTTTAGAACTAGAAAAGTTTTCTTAACTTTTCTTAAATAATAAGAAATTAAATCTTAAATTAAGAAAATAGAACTTGTTTTAAGAAAATATTTCTCAAAACAAGAAAATTTTTACTAGGGAGAATAGCGAGAAAAAGTTTCTAATTAAGAAAATATTTCTGGATGAATCATTTTCTTGTTTTAAGAAAATATATCTTATTTTAAGATTAACTTTCTTAAAACTAGATACTTTTGACTAGATAAAAAATAAGATAAATTTACACCTAACATTCTCAGTTTAAGAAAAAAACTCTCATTCTAAGAAAATAACTTGCATATTTACTGAAATTATAGTAGTGAATTGAGTTTCTCCCAGGGTTTTTTCCAGGATTTTCTCTTGGGTCCGTTTTTGCAGAGAAGATTGAGCTTAGCTGAACAGTTGGGGTGGTTGCACCCCCCCCCCCACCGGTGGGCCGACACCTGTACTCAATAAATGTAATTGAGACGGAATGTGTTAAAACAGGGACACTATAAACTGGTTAAAGATGGTTTGTCGGACTTCCAACTGAAAACTAATTTCCACACGTCACAACATTTTATAACTCAAACAACTGAGTTTTTGGGGCCATTTGAAGGGCCCTAAAAAATCCCTGAAAAAACCCTGGTTTCTCCTGAAGCCATATTTTGTTTAACATTTTAGGGGTAGGATGGCAACTGGGACATTAGTCCTGTATCTAACTCCTGCCAGTCGTCTGTTTGGTAAACTTGTAACTTGCTATATATGTCATTGTAATTTACTGGCGAATTAATTAAAATAACTAAACTAAATTTTGTCCATTTCACAATCAATATTATCTATACCATTGTTCATTCACCAATCCATTGATTTCTTCATGTACATTTAATTAATACTGTTCCAAACACAGCATGCAATTGCCATCAAAGATCCATCATCTTAGAATCTGTAAAAGGAAAATGTTACTTATTGAAAATGTAATCATTACTTTATACAAAATATGCCAGAACAATGACCTTGAGACTTATCATTAACCTACAGTGTATAAGGGACTACTAAATGTGGATGTAATAAACAGCCTTTATTTAACCAATAACAAAGCCAGTTCATATTTGTATGTACAAGGTGATGCAGGGTATGTCAAATATACATATGTTAACCAGAGACAGGCTTTCTCCAGATCTGTACCCAGTAGACCAGGGTTTTTTTCAGGAATTTTTTAGGGCCGTTAAACGGGCCCAAAAATTCAATCTTGAATTGAGTTTCGAAACTCAATCTTCTCACCAAAGTTTCAGTACAGTAAAAATGAAGTTGTTTGAGTTATAAAATTTTGTGACGTGTGGAAATTAGTTTTCAGTTGGAAGCCCGACAATTAAGAAAAAATGGCTGGAATTCATCTTGCAACACAAGAAAAACTATGCATTCGCCATCTTTAACCAGTTTATAGTGTCCCTTAGTGCCCCTGCTTTAACACATTCCATCTCAACTACATTTATTGAGCATAGGTGTCAACCTCCCGCAGTAGGGGGGTGGGGGGCGCAGCCACCCCAGCTGTTCAGCCAAACTCAATCTTCTCTGCAAAAATGGACCCAAGAGAAAGTCCTGAAAAAACCCTGTAGACTACTATCTGGTGCCATTAGGTATCTGGGCACCACCCGGCTATACCATCTGGTATTAGGCAAACCACCATCTGGCGCAACTTCTTCTGGCAAAGACCTTGGACCCATGTTATTTTAAAAAGTAATAAACAATAATCACTATTAATCAGCAAGCTTAGTTTTACCAGACACTAAATTTTGTTGCATCATATACTTTATTATTTCACTCTGTCTAACACCAGATAACTTTACTTGACAAGGGGAGAGCAGTTGTGCTCAATGGGTTAATGAGACTATCTGCCCATGTGTCAAATTAACCATTTAGTTGCATTGTGCACTACTGTCTAATAATTATTAGTTAGCCAAGTAGATTATGTCAATTAATTTATCATCTGTCATGCGACAGTTCCAGTTTAAAGGGGAATATATCTTGTGGACTAAATATGATACTCAACTGACCGTCTTCTCTTATATAGCTTTAAATCATTATACAGTTAGCATCACTGTAGTGCAGTAACATTACATTAACACTTTAAGTGCCAATGCACCAAGATGCGCCCTACTTTATTATTTTACTCTGTCTAAGCCAGACGATTTAACTCGTCAGGGACTCAGGGGAAGAGTGCTGCCACTAATTGGGTTAATACATCAGGACCCTGGACATGTACAATTGTTTGGCATTGAGATAGCAAGATTAATCTAGTAGGGTGTAAAAAAATACCTGTGGTTCCGGTTTCATATCGCAAAAAAATTAGGGTTGGTAGGTCGGAAATACATTTTTAAATATTTTTTCATGGATTTTTTAATAATTAGTGTGACAACAGAGATGTCATTTGGCAGCAGCCCACAACCATCTGGAGAAACTAGGGTCGCACAGTCAATTACTTTGAAAAAATAATAGGGTGGGCAGAAAAAAATAGGGTCGATCGGGAGCCGGAACCACAGGTATTTTTTTACGCCTAATATGGCACAGATAAACTTGGTACCTGTACCAAATTTATCCATGCTCGGCCTGTGTGAATAGGAGTAGTCCAAGCATGATAAACATGTTACGGATACCAAAATTGAGTACAGTGCCAACAGGCCTTACAATGGGCTGCATTGGGGGTAGATTTAGGATTCACATGTAATTGTGTTGTTAATATTTACTAAATTTTTGATGCAGTATCAAGAAATGTAATAATTCCTACAAACAAGGTCCTTACATGGGCTGTTTACAAGATCAAGGATGATTCGTCTGGCGGGACCGACTTGCATGTGCCGAGATCTGGTCTTGTACGTGTATATTGTTTTTATATGTTTTTGAGATTTGATTCACATGAAAACCGGGCTGGCCTGGTTAATTTGATGGGCTCCCGTTTGAGCAAGGCAAGATCTCGCCTTTCCCGGCCAGCCCGGGAAACCAGACTGGC